GGGAATTATAGTTAATGGGTTTGTTTATCCAGATTCCCAATAACTGATAATATGTATGTCTTTTACACTAATATTGGACACTTTGGGACTTCAAATCACATATGATTTAAAGCATTCTTAGTCACTGTAAAATACTTGCTTAGTCTGGGGCTGGAGTGTTGTGAATTGTGAATATTGTGAAAAATATATAGAAGAATTACTGCTGGCTTGAAACAATCAGAGCAAATCCTTTTTGATCCAACTGGCAGACACTCTTCTGGGAAGTAAAAAAAAGTGATATTCATCCCCAGCATAAGACTGTGCAACTACCAATAACTGAAATGGGAGTTGCATCTGCTTATTTGATCCACAGGATCTAGTATCCTATAAATTAATTTATTATAATGGGCCAAATTCATCCTTTATATAAGTGCATTGAAAGCAGTGGAGTTACGCCAGTAATGAATTTGGTTCAGTGTGTCTCCTTATTTAAAGAGGAGTATGACAGAATCTTTGGCTGTATATACACAGAAAAATATCACAATGGAAGAATCCTTAGACGGGTGGAATTCAAAAGAGCTATGTGACAGCTTCTCTTCAAGAGGGGTTATTCAGCCTATCTGACCTCAGAAACATTGGGAGAAATCCTGGCCTTGCTCTAAGGAAATACATCATGGAGAGCAGTGGGAGGGTCAGGTAGGGTGACCATATTTCCCTAGCCTGAAAACAGGATCATGGGCCTGGCCCAAGCCGCCTGGCATCGCCACTCATCCCCTGCGCCCCCACAAATGTTCCTCTGTGGCCCTAATTGGGCCAAGTTGCAGAGATGGGAGCGGGGAGAAGAGGACTGGGTTGGGCTGGGATCTGAGTGTGTAAGTGTGAATACTTTTGGGCTCGGAGCCAGGAGGTGAAGCTATTGGATATGATCCAGTTAGCAGTGTGATGCCCCTTTGGGATTTGGGATAGCAGAGTGGCAAGAAGGAGGCTCCGGGTAGTGGGTGAGATCAAGGAGACTCCAGAGAGCAGCCTTGGGGAGGTGGGGGAAGGCCGGATGCAGGGCCATTTCAGACTTTGTAATTGGAGGGGGTGATTCCCGGCCGGTGAGGGGAGGGGAGAGAGGAGTGACCAGGAGGAGGTCACTCCCGGCCAACAGTACGAAACTCAGGTGGGCCAGGTGTCCCCCACCGCCCTCCCGAAATGGCATCCCTGCCGGGATGTGGCAGACGCAGGCAACTAGAGGCAGACTGAGGAGTTGGGGGGAGGCCTGGAAAGGGCTCTGGGGACCAGCCCCAAAGGACGATGGATGGGGAGGATATGAGGCCGGGGTGGGAGCTGTGGGGACTGCTTGGGAGGCTGTGGCGGGGGTGGGGGACCATGCCACACTCGGTGCCCCAGCACAAGCAGATGATGCGGAACCCAGTCAGGCACTTACCAGCCAGGTTGCCTGGTAGGGTCTGGGTCCCACAAGTCGCGGCTCCATGGCCCAGACAGAGAGGAGTTTGAATTAGGGCCCTGATTGCACTGCCCTCTGATTGGGCTGCAGAGTGAGCACGTGTTACCCCATTGCTCCCTGATTGGGGGGGCAGAACATAGCAGAGACAGACTGGCCAGGCTCCTGTCCCCCTCCCCAAAACGTTGCCACTCACACACCCCAACATTCTTCCATATCTCCCTAGGGAGGCACGCCCCACCTTTTTTGCAAAACTGGGCATTTGTCTTGCCAACTCATTTGGCAAAAGCAAACAGGACAAATGCCCAGTTTTGCCACAAAAAAAGTCACAATGTCAGGGACGGGGCTTAAAAAAGGGACTGTCCCAGCCAAAATGGGACATACGGTCACCCTATCAAGGAAACATCCTGACAACACAGAGGGCTGGAAAATATGTACCCTGAGGGGACCTTATTGTTTTTCTAAAAAAGATACAGCATTACTCCTACTATGTGAGGAGCACAGCATATTCACTAGGCCCCTCAGTCAGCAGACCCTTTGGATCTATGAGGCTTTGGCAGGCCTCTTAGCCAGTCCTCACTGCCTTTGCTATCCTGCCCTGCTGCTATGCAAGTGCTGTTGGTAAAACTGGGAAGGATTTTGCATATGCTATCAGGTATCATATTTCATTTTGTGTATGTGTGCATTTGTCTGTATCTTAATCTGAATATGTGGGTGTGTGTAGTGCATACTGTACACAGAGAGAGAAAGAGATTTGCATTCCTTTTATCATTTTTATTTAATTTTCCTTAGTTTACGGGAGAAAATAAGTTTTCGGCTTCGGTATTGTAACTTGACTTGGGAAAATTAAGTTATAATCTTTTTCATTGTATATCATCACAGATAATGAACCAGTTTCTGTAATGTGCATATTAGTTGATTATTGGTGATGGCACATACATCAGAAAGCATACAAATAGACTTTCACAGGCTCAGCTGATGCTGAAAGTAACATGAAACTTATTTTGACTTATAAACTAAACAAACATGACATGGCATTGGTAGGATAATAGTATGTATGCATCTTCCAGCTTGTGTTTTAATATAGTGACTTCTTTATCCAGAGAGACATTTACCATTTTTTCCAGCATGTTTCACCTTTCACTGGTTATAAATACTTCACAACCTTTCCTTAACTGCTAAATTATTATTCAGGTACCCACACATAAGCACTAAGTGGCTAATCTTTAACTCTTTTTGGCATTTACTTGAACATATCTAGTTTACAACTCAATTGGAAGTTCTAAGAAACTGAGTGCATGGGGAACAGAACAAATTTAGTAGAAATTCAGAGTAACAACGTATAAACATTAGAACTATTTATTATTGAAAATATTCATAACTGCTTCAAGAAAACAAGACAAACTCTGCAATTATTTTGAAAAGCTCTATTTATTTTCTCAGTTCATTTATTTTGGTGCTGTATTATTCAGGGCCAGTGAGATAATTTTCTTGTTTGCATGTAGTCAAACATAGGCCAAATGGTACCATCAGTTTTTAAGCAGAACTCCTTCATTGGATTCATTGAGAGGGTTCTGCTTAAAAATTAATTATTCAGTATGCCTATACTATTTCCAAACTCGCAGTCTACAAAACACAGTTGATGTGGACATAGATATAATCCTAACACAGAATATTTTAAAAATAAAATATGCCAACACAGGAATTTTAGTTTGATTCAGTGACACAACCGTAGTGCCCAGTCCTGCCACCCTTCATGATAATACCGGCCTCTTATCTGGTGCTTTCATCAGTAGATATCAAAATGCTTTACTAATGAGGTCAGTATCATTAGCCTCATTTTACAGATGTGCAAATTGAGGCTATGAGCAGGGAAGTGCCTATGGTCACCCAGCAGGTCACTGGTAGAGCCAGGAATGGAAACAGAACCAAGTC